GCAATTTTCTTGATTTGTCTCATCTTTTTTGTTTTTTGATTTTGGAAATACATAAACATTAAACTAATGCATTTTTAAACATAAAAGCATAAAACATAAAACATAATCTTCGTCCTAGTGGTCGTTTTTTCTTACTTTTTGATAGTTTGTAGTAGCCGTCGTAGTTTTTGTTTGGATTTAGTCATCTTCCTCTATGTTGCATAATTCCGATTCAAATTGAAGCACTTGTACAATCCCATAACTATTTCTTCTTGGATTTCTTATTCAACCCTCAACAAATCTCCTTCAAATGGTCAAACATTTTGTATTCATTCCACCTTCTCTAAATAGTCTTTCAAGCATATGCACATTTACACTGATAAAAGGGGCGAGTCTTGATCTTCTAAGTGATATAACCCTGCCTAACAGAAAAAGTGGATTATGAAGCTACCTTATCAACGGTTACTACATCACGAGCTATAACGACTAGAATCGGAAATTAGGATTCCTTTTCTCTCCACCAAACAAAAATATCAAAATTCTTAAACTTCTGTATACTTATATGTGCTAAAAAAATCGGATCTAATCTCCCTCCCAAGGTCGCTACTAGGGGTGCTATACTGAGCTCGTTTGATATTTTCATTTCTTAAAGTATTATAAAGTCGAATTGTTTTGCTATTATCAATCATGAGTAGCCAATACAGATGCCCATAAATTTTGCATGATGTCATGAATGGTACCATATTTTGCTAAATAAACCTCAAACAAATTTTGAATTTTTTTTTTATTAAATGTTGATATTTCTTTTGAAGTGTAATTGTTATCTTCGTCCACTAAACCTAAATCGTAAGAAATGTTATAAATTAAAGTTTCAACCCCTCCAACATTTAGAGTCGGGTTCAAAGCGGAAACAATAGTTATAACCAAACGCTGTCATTTCAAACTCATTTGTTTTCGAACACATTAAAAAGATTTGATTTAAAACTAAAGAACTTGTAGGATAATAAACTCCAGCCAAAAAGTAGTTGATTTTTAAAACTCCAAGTATTTCGGAAAGAAATTTGTGGATATGCCAACTCGATTTCGGATAAGGCATAACCCGATTACGTTCTACAATGTTGTCATGAAACATTTTTAAAACATCTTTTTGACGTAAAACACATTCAAACATTTTACAAGTGGAATTCTATCAAATAGGTACTTCCCAATTTGGACAAAGAAAAGGCATTCGCATCGGCACAAAACTTTATATATTTGTGATATCAAGCATTACTAGAACTAAAAAATATCATGAAACATATTTTTGAAAGTTTCTCTTAGAGCATCTCCAACCCACTCCCATTCTCCATTTTTTCCCCCATTTCTTCTCTCGTTCTTCTCCAACCCTCCCCCATTTATTCCCCCATTTTGGAGGATATGAATAGTATTACACCAAATATGGTGTTATACTATTCATTTTTCCCAAAATGGGGTGAACTTTGCGTTGTCGGTTTTAGTCTCTCTGTTATATATTTATACATTTCTAATTCATTTTTACAACTAATTATAATTTAAATATAATATTTAATACTTATAATATTTTGTTATATATTAAATTATATTAATTAATTATAAATATAAAGTTTGTTTTTTGTTCATCAAATTCATATAAAAATTTAAATACATATTGGAATTTTAAAAAACGATAATGTATTTTACAAAAATTTATAATTAAAATATATATTACAAACACGATAACATATGCTATTAAACATATAGTTAACCTATATATTATAATAATAATCTAATAAAAACCAACAAGTGACAATCCTATTATTTATTTATTTAATATTGATTTAAAAGTGTGAACGTGTAATATTTTTATAAATGCATGTAAAATATTTATTTATAAGTTTATTATAAATATAAATGTTTGTATTTAATATTAATGTAATGAAAAAAAATATAGATTATATATTTGTTAAAACTAAATTAGTAGAGGGGTGTGTTTGACAATCTATGTAAGTTGGAATAATAGAATATAATAGGAATATATTTTTTAGGGGTAAAAATATGATAAAAATTTGAGTAGGGTTGGAGAAGAAACACTATTTGCCCCATTTTTCACTCCATTTTTGGGGGGAAAATGGAGATGGGTTGGAGATGGTCTTGTAGATTTAATGCAAAATAATCCGTTTTGCACAACCATGATATTTGCAACACATCAACTATGGTAAAAAAAAAACTATGTCGCAAATTGGTTTATATTTTAGTTTTAGTCGTCCAACCACGCTTGTTATTCAATTACCGGAACCCGATAAACCTATTAAAAGTTGAGAATTGAACAATTGGACACGTGTGTGGGTTATTTTGAAATTAAAGGAGTTTAAGCTTAAAAAAAGATCCGAAAAATAATTTTACCAATAATCATTGATTTTAATGTTATTTCAGTCGAAAAAGAAAGACATAGATTAAATGTTAGTGATTAAGTCATGTTTTTTGAAACTATTTACTCAGATTAAGTAAAAAAGAACAAACATATATGCTTTACAGGTTAAATGCTCAACTTATTAAGCAAAGTAAAAAAGAAACAGTACATTAATCACACATACAATCTTATTTGTAGAGATAACCACAATTATATGTTTTATAGGTGCTTGGACTTATGATCAGGATGCATAGTCAAAGATTCCACAGAAAACCCTAAAAAAGGGTATATATACAAACCTGTAGTCAAGAAAGGTCTAAATTGCCCATATCTAGTTCAGTGTATAGTATTTTCATATTAATGATAACAATAGTAAGATTAAGTTAATGGGCAAATGCTATTATTAGCCATGAACCAAATAGCAACTCAATACATATCTCTCCTATGTGGAGAAAATAGATAGTGCAGCATATTACAAACACACAAGTTATCAAATATACATACTCTATTAAAGTTGGACACAAAATTACCAACTATATTGCTTCACGAGTACTATAATTATAAACAAGTTATCAAATATACACAAGAAGCTTGTACCTTGTAGGGGTTTATTCCACAATCTTGTTCATAAAGAGGATGAACATATATCCTCAACCCCATCAACAAGCATAGACACATAAACAACACCTCCATTGTTTTCAGGAACTCGGAGCTCCAATCTCCAGTTCCAAGCTTTAGGCTTTAACAATTGTAGATAATGTAATCGAACTAAATTCACTATTTGGATTCAATAACTCATATGTAGATTAGGATAAATCGGATTCAAGAACAGCAAGTGGGGCAACGAATCAATCCGTTTTCATTGCAATCTGGGCAGCGAATCAACTGATCTTCATCTTCATCAAAGACTTTCTTGCTTCCACTACAATTCGCACAGGGGATGAATCGAACATCTCCACATGCATCACAGACCTGCCATGGCCCAATTGCACGAACAGGAAGCCCTTTCAGAAGCTTTGCCAGCTGACCAGTCTCGTGAAGCTGTTTGATGACATCTGCGCCGCCTATGTAATTTCCTTTGATGAAGACTTGAGGTAAACTCACTTGTTTTTCACCCAAGACACTCAAGAGCTCCTTTCGATATGAAGAATCCATTGAGATATCTCGTTCGTCGATATGAACCCTAAAAAACTTGAGAATCATCCTTACAGCGTAGCAATCCTCATAAGTCCTTCGAATCCCTCGTAAACTTGTGAAGTAAATAACAACACGATCTTCTGTTCCAGGTAACCGAATCGGAGTAGATTCATATGGAGATGATAGGGAGGCAAGTTTAGAATCTGAAGAAGAAAACGACTTCTCCGATTTCAATTTTGTTTGAGATTGAGAATCATCGGATGAGGGTTTCGATGCTTTCCGTGCCTCGAAGATGCTACAGAGGGCCCTGACCTTGCCTTTAATAGAATCAAAAGATGAATCGGAGACTTTCTTGACAGATGCAGTACGTTGGATAGAAGAGTAAGGATAGGGTTTTACAGGGAAATCGGTGGACGCCGAGTTTATGGTGTAAGATCGATTATAGATCGACGATGATTTCTGGTCATCGGAACCATACATCTTTACGTTTCTTCTGCTCACAACAGCTTAGCTTAATCAACTTGTAAACTCGAATTCAGCAACAAAACTAGCGTTTTGAGTCTAAAAATTAGGGTTTTCGTTAGAATTGGGGAAAATAGCTGGTGGTTTGGCGGAAATTTTGCAGAAATTTTGATAGGATGCCTGAAATTGTGGATTTGATGTTGTTGGCGTGTATTCAAAGCAAATATAGAATGAAAAGGATATGCCGCGGAGCTTTTTGAAAAGTTGTCATGAGGTCGTTGTTCATGTTTGAGGACCCTTTCCTACTTTGATTTTGGGCACAACGGTTACATCACACATGTTCTATTTGGGGTTTCTTTCTTTATTGTGTTGTGGATTTGGTTGGAAGTCAAAATTGAGTTGCCCTATCTAATTTATTAAAGTTTATTAGCTATGTTGTATCCATCACTCATTTTAATTTCGAATTTTAAAATCCAAACTCTTACTTGGATTTAATATGTTTCCTTCTAATGTCTTTCAAATCTCAAGACTAAATTAGGATTTTATCTGTCGTTCATTACAACCATAGTTATAAATTTAAGAAGATGAACTCTTTCCGTAGCAATAAAAACTTAGGAGGTCGTAAGTTGTCAAACCACAAAAGTAATGGACAAAACCATACATAGTAACTTAAGAGGACTTAAGTTGGCAAAACACAAAAGTCAGGGACCATAATCATGCCAAGAAAAATGCTTAAAAATAAGCACCAAAACCGAAATTATGTTGAAAGTATTCTGTATAGGCTTAATGTCATAAAAAGACTTAAGTTTAGCAGAAAATGTCGGTTTTACCCTTTGATATATTTTTGGTTCGTTTATGTCGCAAATTTGACATTTTTTTTTGTCGGTTTTGCCATTTTTACCTGTAATAACAGGTTTCCATGTTATCATGAATTATTTTTTGCGAAAAAACTCTTAAGTTTCCAAATATTTTGCAAAAAACCTTTAAGTTTATAAACATATAAAATATAAATATATATTCAAAATTTGATAAACTAAAAAGTTTTTAAAAATTTAAATGTCAAAAGTTTATATGAAACTAATATAAGTTTTACTGTACTTATATTATGAAACCAAAACTGAAACTTATTTTTAGTTTTACGTAATGTAAATTTTATATTGGTTCAATATAAATTTTTTATATTTAAAATTTTTTTAAAAAAAAGTTACCTAGTTTTATCAAAATTTGAATATATACCTTAATTAATACTTAAACTTTTCAAAGCAAAATTAAAAAATGTATGTTAGGTATAAATTAACTATGCTAAAATAGTTAAACATATGAATAATATGACATTAGTTAACTTCAATTAATTTTTTTAAAAGTAAAATAAAAATATTAATATGTTTAAAAGGTTTATTTCAGAAATAATAATGTATCGTATTTTTCATAATAATAAATATATTTATATAATAAATTAGACAAATATATTTATATTTTAAATGTTTAAAATGTTTGTGTTTGTGTTTTAGAAATAATAACTTATACAGCTATATTTATTTTTATAAAAAAATGATAATATTATTATTTTTGAAATACAAACCTTTTAAACATAAAAAATATTTTCATTTTCCTTTAAAAAAAAATAATTTCATGGAAATTTTGTCACCATATAGTGACTATAATCACCTCCAAAATTGTTTTACGAGCCATGAATATATACAACGAATCTAAAAAATATGATACATTATTATTTCTGTAGTACAAACCTTTTAAACATATAAATATTTGTATTTTCCTTTTAAAAAAAATAATTGAATTTAATTAATGTCATATTATTCATATGTTTAACTATTTTAGCGTAGTTAATTATTAGCAAACAGACGTTTTTTAATTTTATTTTGAAAAGTTTAAATATTAATTAAGGAATATATTTAAATTTTGATAAAACTAGGTAACTTTTTTAAAATTTAAATATAAAAAGTTTATATTGAACTAATATAAAATTTAGCGTACGTAAAGCTAAAAATATGTTTCAGTTTTGGTTTCATAATATAAATACAGTAAAAATTATGTTAGTTTGATATAAACTTTTGACATTTAATTTTTAAAAACTATTTAGTTTTATCAAATTTTAAATATATATTTATATTTTATATGTTTATAATCTTAAGGGTTTTTTTTGCAAAATATTTGGAAATTTAAGGGTTTTTTCGCAAAAAATAAATCATGGTAACCTGAAAACCTACTATTACAGATAAAAAGGCAAAACCGACAAAAAATGACAAGTTTTTGGCATAAACGAACCTAAAATCTGTCAAAGGGTAAAACCGATGTTTTCTGCCAAACTTAAGGATTTTTATGGCATTATCCCATTATGTATACTATAAGGGTAAATATGAAAGTTTAGAAGATAAAAGGGGGAAAATAATATTTTATAAAGTTCAAAGTGAAGGGTGAAAGTGACATATACAATAACTTCAGTTTATATCGTCAAAATTAAAACGTATTATATGTGACACAACCCATACATAGAAAACATATACAAAAATAAGCACATAACTGATATGTCTTAAATTACACATAGTTTAAGAGATACATTTTATATTTTTCTATGTGTTTTAAAGATAGTTAATACTTAATTGTTATAAATTTTTATTTTGCAGATTAAAAGGACAATATGATAAATTGAAGTATTAAAAGGCTTATTTCATATATATTTTCGTAGCTTGAAGATTTAGAAAAAAATAAATGAAGATAATTCCAGAAAAATAGAAGATTTTGAAGATATTTGTTGATATTCACAAATCGCGTCGCAACTATTATTTCTCACTGCGATCCAGAACCTATAAATAAAAGCTAATTTCGTCTAAACAAGGAAGAGAGAACATAGAGAAAAGAACATGGGAGCATCAAAAGACCGAAAGAAGGGCAGAAAGATGTCAGAATGCAAAAAATATTCTACTTTTGGTTTGCAATATGCCCAGTTTTCTAATTATTTTAGTTATTTAGTTTTGATTATGGACTAATTCCCAAGACTTTTGATTAGATGTAGATGATCTATTTTGATTTTGGTTTAATTCACTAAAAGGATTTTGATAGTTATTTAATTTATTATGTTAATGCTCATTTAAATATCCGTGCATATTGATATTGATTTTGTTATGTTTATGTAACTGAGTGCATGATTTATGATTAGGTTCAGACTATGTATCCAATCAACTGTTTAGTTAACAATTAGGTGATCAAAGTTGACCAGTTGATGCATAGACACATCTGACTAATGGAGACATCCCTAGGTTAAACATAAGAAACGTAAGCTAATATTCATGATTAATCCAATAACTTGGACAACTTAAGAAGTTGCTATTAACCATGAGACTAATCATACATATTGATTCATTACATAATATGAACAAATAGATTGAGTCTAGGAACTATCATTGCTGGTAAACAACTTAGAATTATAGGATTAGTGACTTGACCATCCAATCTAATCAAATTAGGAATCGGTGAATATCTATCCGAATTTTATTGCACTTCATATGATTTAACCATAGTTATATAGTGATTTTAATTCTAATCAAAAGTATCATTAATTATTAGTATTTTAATTCACTTTAATTCAGATGTACTTTGTCTATTGTATTTAGTACACATCGATTTTTTTTTTGAGTTCGAGACCATTACTTATCATAACTTTACTATTCTTGATCAGATACACTGCCTGGTGTTGATAGTCAATTTGATCAGTTACGTTTTAATATTTTAAAACTATATTTGTATTTTAAGATTATTTTTTATAGACTATCCATTACACATAAAGTTTTTGGCGTCATTGTCAGGAAATTGATTTCAACTAAATAATAAATATATAGGAAGTTTTTCTGTTTAAATCTTTTATTTTTGTTTTCACAAATTTTCTCGATGCAAAAATATTATCGCACCGCTATTCTAGGTATTTTTATCGTAGGTCTCGACGAGATTTATTAATCTAGGCGAAATTTTATCTTAGAAACCATATTTTGCATAAACACATTTTTTCAGTTGACTAGCTGCACCTTTATTTAAATTTTGTAGAAACTATAAGAATATTAGCTCATCATCGACTCTAAACGAACCAGTTAACGATCCAGAAAAGATTATCAAATCAGGAAAAGAAAGGAACATAAGACAATAATACTAGAGATCCTGATAGTCCAAAGACAGAAGATAACAATATGACAGAAAGAACGAATCCGGAGTATAATACGATGCGTACTAGTGAAAGCAGAGGCTCTAGAGTAAGAAGGCCGGATCTTCAGAATTTAAACTTTGAATTGAAAGGGCAGTTTTCGCATCTTGTAAAGGAAACCTCATTCGCTGGAAAGGACCACGAAGATGCCATCTAACATGTAGAAGATGTCATAAAGATTGTCGAATATTTCAACATATCAAATGCTTTCAAGGATCAAGTTATGTTATGAGTTTTCCTATTACACTCGTAGGGGAAGCTAAAGATTAGATAAAAACAACACCATTTGCAAAAAGTTCTACTCTGACCGATTTAAAGGAAAAGTTACTTAAAAGATTTAGTCATCCATCAAAGATTGCAAAGAAGAAAGATGAAATTAAGAATTTCCAACAAGGAGACGAAGAAACATTATATAAAGCATGAGAGCACTACAAACGAATGTTGCAAAAGTGCTCCCAACATGTCCTTAACGATCATCAAGAGGTACAACCCTTTTACAATGTTTAGATAGTGCAACTAGACAGATAATAAATATTAGGGGACCAATAACTAAGAAGTTACCAGCTGAAGGAAAAGAAATCATAGAAGAGTTAGCACAACATTCACACAAATGGTTATCCATTAGAGACCCTTTTGTTAGAAAGAAAAAGGAAATAAATAACTCTGATGAATTAGAGGCTTTGAATGTTAAGGTTGAGGATATGGGTAAGATAATGAGAAAAATGTCTCAATCTATACATGTTATCCAAATAGGGTGTGATAATTGTAATGGACCTCATCTCGCTAAGGAATTTTCCTAAGATAC